TTGGATCTTATGTTCGTTTTATCCTATGTAATCTTTTTGGACACTTGGGTTGCTTCTTTTAATAACCTATCTTAGTTCTTTTTAAATAGTTGAGTTGTTTTGCCAAATAATAGCCAAAGGGAGAGTTTGTTAGTGTTTTTATGTTCAAAAACCCCATATTATAATTGGCAATATTATTATGGCATACTAAGATAGGTTTAGAGTCTGTCCGGTTGGGTCTACAGTTTACTGATCAAGCAGAAGCAACGACAGAAGAACTGACACTGAAGATCTGATTTAGTGAAGCTGTTTCCTTAAGAGTCTTACGCGGTATTATCTGCTCAGTATGGAAAGACGATCAGCGTATCTTCAAAGAAGGTAATGGACCTAATCTGATGAGATTACATTCCTCTTTTATAGTCCTACCTTCTACAATCAAAGATCTTTTATGGAGAGTGTTTATAGAAGGATCTATAAGTACCAGTTCTTTAAGGGAACTAGGGTTACGCCAAAATAAGAAGAAGAAACACTCCATATCAGCTTGATGAGTCTAGATCTTTGATTGTTATACACCTTCTCAATATAACTTGTTCATGGTGATTAAGATGATGAACTTGAGAAGAGTTACTGCTGCTTAAACGAAAGGACACTAAGATCACACTGTTGTGGGAACAACATTATAGAGCGTCACTGAAGTGGACTGCATCAGAGCTGGCTCTCCAAGTGAAGGGATTTCATTGGACTTCTGTATGCATGGCTCTCCATCTTCAACAATCCACTAAACCTGTGTAGACTGGGTATGTACCTTGTGTGGGGCACTTGGGTAAGATTATTGTATATCTACCTTTGTACATTGGATTATGACTTAGTGGATTGGACGCCTATGTGATCGTCCCCCAGACGTAGATACACACTGTATCGAACTGGGTAAACATTGTGAGTGTTCGTTCTGTGTGTTTGTTTATTTTTCTCTGATGTTCGCTCCATGATCTATCATTACTAAGTAGGTGCTTAACTGAATCTATCAGTATTCTAAGTCAGCAAACTATTTCTGATAATTTTCGTAAAATGAGGAAATGCAAAATTACAGTGCTGAAGGGCTTTCAATATTATTAAAACAGGCACATGCAAAGGGAGAGATACATGGCTGTAGAGTGGCTAGAGGAGCTCCCTCCATTACCCACTTATCCTTTGCTAATGATAGTCTGCTTTTTTTCAAAGCAAATATTCAAGAGGCGGGTGTGGTTAAACGTTGTTTGTCGGAATATGAAAAGATGTCTGGCCAGGCAGTTAACTATCACAAATCGAATATTTGTTATAGAAAAAATACACGAGGTGAAATAAGGGAGGAGATTGCCGGTATATTGGGAGTTGTGCAGGCTCAGAATTTTGGAAAGTATTTGGGGCTTCCATCATTTGTGGGCAGGAATAGAAAAGTGGCGTTCTCTTATATTGAAGATAAGATAAGGCAGAGGATTAACTCGTGGAATAAGAAACTTTTGTCACAAGCAGGAAAAGAAGTTTTAATGAAAAGTGTGGCTCAGTCTATGCCTACCTTTTCGATGAGCGTTTTTCTACTCCCTACGACTCTGTGCACTGCTATTGAGTGAACCATGAATCGATACTGGTGGAGATCGAGAGATGACCAGGGTATTCATTGGAGAGCTTGGGATAAACTGTGTATCCCAAAAGAATATGGAGGATTGGGATTCAAAGAGTTGCGAGCCTTTAACCTTGCAATGTTGGGCAAGCAAGCGTGGCGCTTTCTGACACAGCCACAATCATTGGTTTCAAGAGTTTATAAAGCCAGGTACTATCCCACTAATTCTTTCTATGAAGCATGCTTGGGAAATAACCCAAGTTTTTGTTGGCGAAGTATTATGGCGGCACAAGATTTGATTTGTGGAGGGGTTAGGCGCAGGATTGGGGATAGCAAATCAACTTTGATTTGGGACCATCCATGGTTGCAAGATGTGATTCAGCCGAAAATATTAACAGAAAAACCACCCCAATTGGCACAGGCAAAGGTGATGGGACTGATGGATCAATAGATAGGAACCTGGGATCAGGATATTCTAACTGATATTTTTGACCCTGAGGATGTAGAGCGAATTTTAAAAATACCTGTGTCACCAGATTATGAGGATTTGTGGTATTGGTATGGGGACCCAAAAGGAGAATATTCGGTTAAAAGTGGCTATAGAACAATAGTAGGTAACTACACCCAACCGGTTGGGACCTTTGATAAATGGAAAGTATTATGGAAGCTTAAAGCCCCCCAAAGTGGAAAACATTTTTGTGGAGAGCTCTAAATGATATTTTGCCCACTACAAAGAACCTACTTATAAAGAGAGTTGATATTGATCCAACATGTGCCATGTGTGGGATTGGGCATGAAGATATTGTGCATTCTTTGATCACATGTGATTATTCGACAAACATTTGGGCACAATCCCACCTTCCAATCCCCAATAGTGTCACAAATATTTTCAGTGATTGGTTTAATGATTTGATGAATATTTTAGATAATGATGGAATTATTTATGCAGTGTCACTTTTATATTATATTTGGCGTGCAAGGAATGGGGTTGTATGGGATGCGACCTTGCCCAGACCTCGGAAGATAATTGCAATGGCATCATCAGCTGTGAATGCTTGGAAAGTAGCCCATCCCGGTCTGCGTCCGCCGGCCACCTCCGCGGCATCAAGCAGCCGGACTGCTCCCGTGGTGGACAGCCACACTGCTACGGCGGTCCCTTCGGCAACAACCAATACTATTGCTGTGCCGACTACACCACAGCTGCCAACGCCGAACATGGTACACCAAGCCACGCAAAACATGAGGGATCAATGTTACTTCGATGCGGCGTACGACCCACAGACAAACAAAGCAGCGGTGGGAGCCATTATTCTAAATTGGCAAGGACATTATGTTTCGGCTATGACTGCCCCTATGATAGACTGTTTTTCGCCCCTAATGGCGGAGGCCTTTGCGTGCAAGGAAGTTTTGTCGTGGCTAAGAAGTCGCGAAATAAAGTCTATTGAGCTCTTCACGGATTGTTTGGTGCTTCAACAATATTTATCATCTATGACACACTCGTCAAGATCGTACTTGGGTTATGCCATTGATAGTTGCAGGACTAGTATATTATCTTTTGATTATTGTTTACTTCATTATGTTCCTAGACTAGATAATTATTTAGTTCATACTCTAGCATCTACTGCAATTACTCAGTCAACTAGTATGTACTCGGACTATGATCCACCAGCATCTATTTCTGCATATTTTGAATAAATGCCGTACAGGCTCCTTTCAATAAAAAACTAGGTCGTCTAAGCGTCGTCTAGGCCTTCTAGGCACCGACTAGATCGCCTAATCAGGCGATCGATTAGCTATTATTTTTCCTTTCTTTTTTAAGTGTTTCACTCAAAATAATATTATTTTTTAGATAAAATAATCCTAAATTGCTCAAAATTTAGATGCTTTTTAAGTTAATATTTAATATTTTAATATTAACTATTAAAATATTAAATAGTTTATAATTATAAACTCTTCAAAAATTTTAAAAATTAAAAAATAAATAATAAATAAAATAAAAATATGCAGGCACCCAATTAATCACTAGGCGCCTTGGAGGGTCTAGTAGTTTTTCAACCAGTCGTTATATCATAGATCGCGGTGCACGTAAAAAACAGTGTCGTTTCTTTAAATAAAGAAACGGCATGCCGTTATAGTTAACGGAGTCTGTTTGTTTGGTGTATTAAACACCAACTGAAACTACAGTATATCTAAACTGACACTGCAGTTACATCAAAATGATACTTTAGTTATAGTGAAATGAAACTGCAGTGTATATAAAATGAAACTGAATAACATTTCACATATTTGAGTGTATATTGTACAATGAAGCTGTAATTATATCAAAATGATCATGTAGTTGTGTTTTAATGAAACTATAGTGTATATAAAATAAAATTAAATAACATTTTCACATATTTGAGTCTATAAATATCGAATGAAACTATAGTTATATCGAAATGAAACTGTAGTTGTGTTGAACTGAAACTGCAGTGTATACAAAATGACACTGAATAGCAGAGTTACTTTTTGCGAAAGGGTGCGAAACGACGAAAAACAAACACCGTTTCTTTTTATTTAATAAAAGGACGCGCGGTGCATGATTGATCATGCACCGTGGTGCATGATATAATTTGTAGGGATGGCAATGGGTCGGGTGTGGGTCGGGGAGGGCTACATCCATCACCCGACCCATCTTATATTTTCTCCACCCACCCCCACCTCCAACACGCATTAGGTGGACTTTTTCAAAATCCACCCCCACCCCCACCGGGTGCGGGTGCCCACTACGGATACCCACCACTTATCATCTTATTATGTTTTTTAAAAAATAATATTTAAATTACTTACACATAATAAAATAATAAAATTCATTAGTGATACTAAAACATTAAATAATACAAATATTTAAATATAATAACTAAATTGTTAATTTTTAAAAATAAACTTAGTAGTTTACATATAAAAAATAGTAAAAAGATATACGAAGTTATATAAACTTTTATAAATAACTACATACTAGTACTTATTTTACTATTATATATATACACAGACATGGTGGGTCGGCTGGGATTCTAGGCGGGTTTTGTATATAGAACCCGAATCCAACCAGACCCACCGCGAGTTTACTTTTTTAATACCCACCCCTGACCCATCACTCACCATCACCCAAAAAAACTCAATCCATGCGGGGTGGATTCGGGTGGATATCCACGGGGCGGATTGAAATGGCCATCCCTAATTAATTTGCCTTTTTCAACCATGTTGGCCACTTGGCCTCACAAGTCACAATTGAGTGGAAAAGCTGACTCTCTAATCCAGTGTTAGTTTATGATTATTCATCAACCTTGCTGGCTTATATAAACCCAGGCCAACTTATTGAGTTGTAGAGATTGAGCTGATCTGATGATGAAGATGAACCATAGGAAAACCCTCCCATCATCATCATCTGCATTCTTTTCTTTTCATCATCTTCTGTTTTGCCTAATAATTTGTAGTGTAACCTTTCCCATTATTCCTTCTGTATTGGCTACTCACTTCTCAAATGAAACTGATAAACTTGCCCTTTTCGATTTCAAACACCATATTACTTATGATCCACAGGGAGTATTACTCAACTCGTGGAATGAGTGGATGTATCATTGTGGGTGGCAAGGAGTGAGTTGCGGTCATCGACACCAACGAGTTGTGGCTTTGAGGCTTCCTGAGATGGGTTTGGGCGGAACCATATCTCCTCATATTGGAAATCTCACATTCCTCCGGGTTGTTCATCTTGGTGGGAATCGGCTGTACGGTGAGATTCCCAGACAAATTGGTGGTTTGCTTCGACTAAGATACCTCAACCTGTCTGTGAATACATTGACAGGAGAACTAGCTGCTCTTAATCTTAGCAACTGTCTACAACTCAGGCAACTCCAGTTATCAAAAAATGGCCTCCATGGGAAGCTCCCTACAGAGCTAGCTGATTTGAAGAAGCTACAAATCCTTTCTCTCAACACAAACCAGTTGACAGGTGGGATTCCTCCGGCATTTGGGAATCTTTCATCGCTTCAAGTGCTGCGCTTGGAATATAATCATTTGGAGGGAAGTATTCCGCATGAGATTACACATTGTTGGGGTTTAAATATGCTTTCACTTGGAGCCAACAATTTCACTGGTACACTATCTTCTGCTTTCTTCAATATGACTTCACTTACAGATTTTTCAGTAACGGAAAACTCACTTCATGGGACCATTCCAAGCAACATAGGAAACATCATGCCCAATTTGGTAAGATTCTATTTTGGTCTAAACAAATTCCATGGAACCATTCCTACTTCGTTTCCCAATGCGTCTAAGCTTCAATATCTTGAGGTATCAAGAAACTACCTTGTAGGCAAAGTTCCAGATAATATTGGAAAGTTAAAGGATCTTATTTATTTGAATCTTGAGAGCAATCTTCTTGGTAGCACTGGTCCCCCTCCCCTTGATGACTTGACCTTTATAAGCTCTCTCTCAAATTGTAGTAATTTGAGTGTGTTTTCTATTCATGATAATAAATTTGAAGGTAAATTGCCAAACACCATAGCTAATCTCTCATCCAAACTCCTTCATATGTTTCTAGGAGGGAATAATTTATTTGGAACAATACCAATGTCAATAAAAAATCTTGTTAGCTTGACCGCTTTAGCCCTTGGAGAGAACCTCTTGTCAGGTGTTATTCCCAGTGAGATAGGTTACTTGCAAAAATTACAACTTTTGAGTTTAGAACAAAACCAATTCTCGGGAGAAATACCATATACTCTGTATAATCTCACCTCTTTAGCAATACTTGATATTCGTTATAACAATTTAGATGGCAATATACCTTCAGATATAGAAAACTTTAGGAATTTAGATGTATTGCTCTTGTCCAATAACAAATTCAGTGGAACCATTCCTCAACAAGTTTTTGATTTGCCCTCTTTGTCTAAATACCTTGACCTCTCTGGTAATTCATTCATTGGCCCATTGTCTCCTGCCGTTGGAAAATTGAAAACATTAAATGCATTAGACATCTCTGGGAACAAATTGTCTGGCAAAATTCCAGAAACAATTGGGGATTGTTTGAGCCTTGAATACCTTTATATGAATGCTAATCTCTTTGATGGAAAAATCCCACATTCTTTGGTTTCCCTAAAGAGTAGTAAGGTTTTAGATATCTCAACCAACAAGTTGACTGGAGAGATACCGAGTGGAATCCAACACCTCCCTCTCTTGCAATATTTGAATCTTTCTTTCAATGATCTAGAAGGTGAGGTGCCAACAATTGGAGTTTTTGCCAAGGCAAACAGTGTATCACTGGTTGGAAACAAAAAACTTTGTGGTGGTATACCTGAGCTAAATCTACCTCGGTGTCCTGTCATAAAAAGAAAACATAAAAAGTTTCAAAAGCTTAAGATTGTTATCTTCACATGTGTTAGCGTGGCGGCGGCTCTGGTGTTTGCATCCTTTATTGTTTTTCTATCACTGCGCCGAAGGAAAAACAAATTGAAGGATTCTTCTGAGCTATCCGGTATTGAAAAGCTACCCAAGATTGCTTATAGTGATCTGCACCAAGCTACAAATGGCTTCGCTGACACAAATTTGATTGGTTCCGGTAGTTTTGGCTTTGTTTACAAGGGAACTTTTGAGCAAGGTGTGAAACAGATAGTTGCAGTAAAGGTACTTGACCTCTTAAAGAATGGTGCAACAAAGAGCTTCCTTGCAGAATGTAAAGTTTTAAGGAGGATACGCCACCGAAATCTTGTTCCAATTTTGACTTGCTGCTCAAGTTGTGATTTCGCAGGCAATGAATTCAAAGCTCTTGTTTATAAGTTTATGGAAAATGCGGACCTTGATATGTGGTTGCATACAAGTTCTGTTGACGATGCAAGGACAAATGTTCTAAGTGCTCTTCAAAGGCTAAACATTGCAATTGATGTAGCTTCTGCATTGCATTATCTCCATGAGGATTGTGACCCAACAGTCATTCATTGTGATCTAAAACCGAGTAACATTCTCCTCGACAAAGATTTAACTGCTCATGTTGGAGATTTTGGGATATCAAGGCTTTACTCATGTACAATTGAAGATTTAAATGGAGAACAGACTAGTACGGTAGGATTAAAGGGATCTGTTGGTTACATCCCACCAGGTAAGGATATTATCAATAAAACCATCAAATTTATGTATTGTATCCTCCTCTGTTTAAGAAGTTATTTCCCGAGCTATATTTTAAAAGATTCTGACCTATTCATTCCTATGTTTGATTTGTTTTTCTTCTCAAATGATTTCCATCTAGAATATGGGATAGGAGCAATGGCATCAACTTTTGGAGATGTATACAGCTTCGGAATCCTTTTGTTGGAAATGTTCACTGGAAGAAGACCCACAGATAATTTATTTAGTAGTGAATATAATAGTGTTTATGAGTATGTTGAGGCAGCTTTACCACAACAAGTGTTGAAGATTGTAGACCCATTCCTTGTAGCAAGCATAGAAAACAAAGATGGATTAAGAGCGGACGAACGGTTGGACAATGATGATGATGATGATATGGTGGAAATTAAAGAGAGCAAGATCCACAGCTTCTTCCGCTCCATCTTCATAATTGGGCTCACTTGTGCTTCTAGATCACCAATGGATCGCATGCATATGAATGATGTGAACAGGGAACTACACAAGATTAAGAAAGCTTTCTTGGCGTATCTATAAGCAAGAATGCCGGGTCAAGCGACATTACAACATCTCCCACGGTGATCGAACTAGCTAGCTAGAAGTTTATAAGAAAAGTTTGTTAGTTGTTCAAGTTGCATAATTTATGTTTCTCTACACTTCATCATTTGATATAAAAGTTGTCTTGGTTTCTTTGATGTTTGTTAATGAAGGCCGGGGAACAAGTACAGTTGTAAATATTATGTGTTCTTATATATTAAGTGTTGTGCTTTGGTTTAAATTTTGTTTATTTATTGCAACATATGATGTTTATTTAAAGCATGCAGTAAGACTTTAAATACAGCAGACTTCTGCATAGAAGTTTAAAAGTATGTAGTTGTTGTTGTCCAACAGCAAACCTATATAAACAGCAAAGCAAGACCAACAACAAAGAATTGCTAACACTGCACCAAAGATTTCTACAAGTACCAGAAGATGGTATAAAAAAGAGTGAATTCCATTTTTGGTCCTAATGTTATTGGGGTCATTCCAATTTTAGTCCACCATAATTATTTTTGTCACATTACGCCCACTGTCATGTTATCATTATCATTCCACTTTTAGTCCTCCGTTATATTGACTGTTTCTTGACTGTCTAATCTAGGGGTATTTTTGTCATTTGATGTTATGTTCTTCTTCTTCTGTTGACTATAACTGTACAACCAGGGAGCTCCTAAATACCAATGGTGGAAGTGCCTTCGCCATCCAGAATTAGACCCCGTTTAATGCTTGGTAGCTCAAATTACTGTTGATCCCCATCTGAATTGCCCAAAAGTAGGTAGCGGCGTTGAGAACCGTAGGAGGCAGCTTGTTCGGCAGCTCGAACCCCGAATCCATCTTCTTCCTCATCTTTACCAGCCTGTTGGAGATGGCGGTTCCCACCAGCTTCTCTCTGGGCTTACCAAATTATCAAACAAAAGTTGAAATAATAGGGTTCAATACCAGAATGGTGTTTGGTAAATTAGTTGTTAGCTTGTTTGGTATAATTTTCTTTCTCAAAAAACTAATTGAAAAAGTTGTTTTGAACAACTTTTTTATTTTTAGCATTTTAGAGTTACAAAAAGCTAATTGCAAAATAATTTTTTTATTTTTATCATTTTATATTGATTTTTTAACCAAATCAAAAAGTTAATAGTGATCAAATAAGTTAAAGTTGACCTATAGACTAGCTATTTTACCAAACAGGGCCATAGAAATACAAGAACATGAGATAAGAATTTACAAAGCAATCAAGCAATCTTACTTCATGTATTCTTCAAAGTCATGATCTAGTAATTCTAAAGACTTCAAGCGCTTCAAGCTGATCCAGTTTCATTTAAGAGTCTTTTAGTTGGAGGAAGAATCAACGTAACTTTGGATTAATAGTCATTGTACATATCTCTACATGTGATTGTAGAAAGAGGGAGAGTAGCAAACTCGTGGAGTGTTGTAAGCACTTAACAAATTTTGAGCTAATTTTTCTATCAAAGCACGAGTTTAGAATCACTTGTAATTATTTGTGTGGTCTACAAGATTACTAGTGAATTTTCTCATAGTAGAAAAAGAAAAGAGTAAAGTATAAAGTTAAACCATTTTCAAACCACAATAAATTACTTGTCTCTATTAGTACAGTTAATATTATAGAGTTAATAGTGTATGTGGTGTAGACTTATTCACCACAGTCTTAGCCTATTGTATAGGAACTTCCTAGTTGTTATATATCGTGTAAACTCTATTTGTTGGTTATTGAATTTACAACTGAATTCCCTAAACTCATCTGGTATCAGTTGGCCGCTTTTTTTTTTTTTTTTCTCTCTCTCTCTCTCTCCTTCTCACCGTCGACAATGTCGACCTTCGGCTCCGAGAGAACCCTCATGGCAACCACCACACCAACGCCGACTACCCCTACCTCCCTCAATGCCGCCCACCATTTCGTCTCACTGAAACTAACCTCCCGCAACTACCTCTTCTAGAGAACCCAAATAGTGCCATTCCTCCGAGGCCAAGGGTTGATCGGCTACATTGATGGCGCTACGCCATGTCCGCAGCCGATTCTTCAGGCCTCCACCGATGATGCCTCCGATGAAGCTGCGTCATCCACCGTCAATCCGGCGTATGGTGCATGGGTCCAACAGGACCAATCTATTTTATCACTCCTCATCTCCTCCTTATCGAAGGAGGTGATGTACTTAGCCGTAGGACAGACAACATCCCGGGGAGTGTGGCTTACCGTCTAGACTGCTCTCGGATCATCAACACGCGTGCGGTGCCTCAATTTGTTGGGGTAGTTCCAATCCCTGCGTCAAGGCGACATGACGCCATCCGAGTATCTTGGCCAAGCTCAGCTGCTAGTGGAAAACCTAGCGCTCGCCGGCCGTCCGATGTCACTGGAGGAGCAGAACCTCTATGTTTTTAAAGGATTACGCCCGGAGTTCCGAGCAATGGCCGCCACTCTCGCCATCTCAAGTAATGCGGTCTCTATTCCCAGTTATCCGATTACCTGCAGGCCCAACAATTTATCCACTCCAATGAGTATCCCACGGGGGTGGCGGTGTTACCGACTGGATCGCCGACGGTAATGTACACCGGAAGGGGCCATGGGCATTCTGGAAATGGAGGCGGTGGCCGTCACCATCGCGACGGACAGGGACGTGGTGGACAGTGAGGCCGCGGTGGCCAAGGCCGCAGTCGTGGAGCACCGCACTGTCAAATCTGTCGCTCGCAAGGTCACACCGTCGTTTACTGTTACCGGCGCTACTCCGATCAGTCATCGGTTCAGGCGAACGTTGCTGTTGCTAGAGATGCCGCGACGGAAACAGCAGCTTGGTACCCGGACACCCGGGCTTCGTCACACGCTCTGTCGGACGCCGAGATGCTCGGCCAGTTCGAGGAGTACACTGGCTTGGACGTCTTCCGTGTGGGTAATGGCACCGGTCTAGGTATTTCCCGTGTTGGTCATGCTATCATTCGGTTTGTGTCTAAATTGTTATGAGTGTCCAATATTTTACATGTTCCAGATTTGTCGGTATCATTATTATCTGTTAATAAATTTGCGAGTAAAGACATTTTTAGTCCTAGACTTATACTGGCTTGGACAATTTTAGTCCTTTATAAAAAATTTGCCATTTTATGGATAGAGTTATTGTGGCGAGGACATTTTTGGTCCTCCGTCTATATTTCTGTTAGATAACCATCTGAGAGAGGGGTAATTACGTCAATTTAGGCTATCTCCTTCTATCTATTAAATCTATGTGTGTTTTGTTTTCTTCTCGGTCATAATTCGAAGGAGTCGGAGAGTCCAAGTTGCAGTTGTACGAGAAATTGCCGGAGAATTGAAGCCGCCAAACAGGTTATTAATCAAAAAATTATATTATAAATTTGAAAATTCCCTATTTAATCTCTCTAGTTCTCTGATTTCTCGATCTCGTCTCCATTTTCCCATTTTTCCGACTATGAGAGAAATACTCTAGCTCTGGTTTCTTTCATTTCTCTCATCATCTCTCTAGTTCTCTAATTTCTCTCTGGTTTTCCGATTACTCCAGCTGGATGACCAGAGACTGGTGGTTACAATTAGTGACAAATAACGCAATTGGGCGAAGTGGGCTACTGACGGTCGTCCTACTGCTGCGAACCATCGACCATCGACCATGGACCAAGCTGTGACCACCGTCCATCACTCCATCAAAGGTAATCTTATTCGACCATCGACCAAGCTGTGACCACCGTCCATCACTCCATCAAAGGTAATCTTATTGCCAGCATCCATCGTCATTGATGCTCCCTGCGCATGCTTCAAATTGGGTTTCAATTGAATCTGTCTTCTCTGCGAATTAGGTCTTCCAATGGTTGGATTTGCTTCGCATTTGGTCTTCCACTTGTAGGATTGGAGTTTAATTTCGGTTATTTGTTTTTGCCACCCCTTAATTTCGGGTTCAATTTATGCTTTAACATGGGTTTCTTTGTCTTTGTATGTGCGATCAAATTGCAATATTTTTTTGTTTTTTTTTTTGTTTTAATTACTTCACGGTGTCATTGTGTTTAGGGACATGATCTATTCAGCTTGTAGTATGTATTTACGGATTTGTTGTTTCTGCCAATTTTGTAGATGAAAGAAGCAGACTTTCAGTTGATTAGGCCATGATTCCTTAAATATCCATATTTATTACTTCATTTGCAGTATATTATAAAGACTTGATAATTATTAATGGACACTTCATGTATTAAGAAGATGCAATTAAAATATTTTTCATTCATCTGTTAAAGATCCATTCTAACTTTCCATGCATGAATTGACTCTTTTTCTTTTCTGAAATTTGTTCCAATTTCAACTATTGGATTTGGATGAACATTTGCAGTTAGGGAGGAAGGCTCTATTCTTTAAGTTGTGCTGAGTCTGTTAAGGTTGATATGATTTTGAATGGTTTGGTGTAAGCTGGGCAGAGCATTTCGTAGTGCAAAACTACAAATAAATGAGGGTCAGAGTAAAGGCATGGTTAGGGGACCAAAATCGTCCATCTCAGAATAAAGAGATAGCCTAAATTGACGTAATTGCCCCTCTCTCATACGGTTATCTAACAGAAATATAGACGGAGGACCAAAAATGTCATCGCCACAATAACTCTTGTCCATAAAATGGCAAATTTTTTTTATAAAGGACTAAAATTGTCCAAGCCGCTATAAGTCTAGGACCAAAAATGTCTTTTACACTAAATTTGCTAACGATAATAATTGTTTCTTTGAGTTTCACCCAAATTACTTTGTTGTGAAGGATTTCCTCACCAAAACAACTCTTCTTAAGGGACCTAGCTCCGGGGGGTTGTACACCTTGTCAGTTCCACGGTCTCATTTCGCTTTCATAACAGCCCGGGCGTGTTCTGAAGTTTGGCATCGCTGGTTAGGACATCCACACAGTTGGGTTCTCCAACGTGTCATGCGTAACTGTCCGGTTGCACCAAATAATTCGAGTGTCTCGGCTATATGTCCATCTTGCCAGCTTGGAAAATCCTCCAGATTTCCTTTAGATAGGGTAGCTCGTTCTAGTAATAACGTATTAGATCATTTGTATACGGATATTTAGGGTCCGCGCCCGTTGTTTCTGCCGAGGTTTTTCGTTACTTTGTGCTTTTCGTATATGATCATACCCGTTATTGTTGGTATTATCCTCTACGTCTCAAAACTGACATCCATAAGGTTTTTGAGATTTTCTGGACTATGGTAAAACGGTTGTTTTCACGTTTTATCAAGTCCATTCAATCTGATTTAGGTGGCGAATATCGCCATTTGCATGCTGTCTTTAATTCTCTTGGAATTGTGCATAGGCAATCCTATGCCTATACACATGACAAAACGGTCGGGTAGAGCGACGCCATCGACACATTATTGAGACTGGGGTAGCTCTATTAGCCAAAGAGTTGACTCTGCATTAATTGACACACTTTTGAGCTGACTTGCGTCTACATTCAAAATCAAGGATCTCGAGTTACCAAACTTCTTTCTTGGCATTGAAACCATAGCTGCAGGTGATGGCATAATTCTGTTTCAGCGTCGTTACATGAATGATTTGTTAAACCGAGCAGGTATGATCGACTGCAAACCACTTGCCACTCCCGCCTCGGTAACACAAGCAGTGACCCACACCACCGAGCCATATGACAACCCAACTCAATACAGGCATTTGGCTGGTGCGTTATAGTATCTCACTATCACCAAGCCAGACCTATCTTATGCAGTAAATCGCCTCTGTCAGTTCATGCACACTCCGACTGAAGAACACTGGGGCCTTCTCAAACGGGTTCTACGGTATGTCAAGGGCACATTAGATCTTGGCTTACGTCTATCTCCGTCGTCGTTATTAGCGATTCATGCATTCTCCGCTTCGAATTGGGCTGGGTGCCCCGTTGACCGGAAGTCAACCAATGGATATGCAGTTTTCTTAGGCACTAATTTGGTTTCTTGGGTCTCCAGAAAGCAGCGGACAGTGGCTCGCTCTTCGACTACAAAGATTTCACCGACGTTTCCGCCGAGGTCACTTGGGTCGTTTCACTCCTACGAGAATTGGGCCTACACTCAGGTACACCGGCCATGCTATGGTGTGACAATCTGGGTGCTACCTATCTCTATGCCAATCCAGTGTTTCACGCCAGAACTAAGCATGTTGAAGTTGATTACCATTTTGCACGCGACAAGGTGTCCTCCGGTGATTTTCAGGTTAATTTTGTCTCGACGAAGGATCAGCTGGCTGACATCTTCACCAAACCACTGCCTGCTACGCGGTTTGGTGCCCTGAGAACCAAGCTCAACGTTGTTGCTATCGAACCTTGTGCTTGATGGGGGAGTGGGTATTAGTACTGTTAATATTATAGAGTTAGTGTATGTGGTGTAGACTTATTCATCACAGCCTTAGCGTATTGTATAGGAACCTCCTAGTTGTTGTATATCGTGTAAACTCTATCTGTTGGTTATTGAATTCCCAATTGAATTCCCTAAACTCATCGTCTCTTGTTCACTCCCTTGATGCACTTTAGTTCTTGCTTTTAACTATTTTTTTTTTATTCTTACAATAATGTGCTATTAAACCTTTTCCATTCTGCATTAAACTTTAATAAAGTTTTCTTAACTATATTGTTATGATATCAACATAACCTTTCCAAGTATTGTTAAGAGATTAACTTTTATAGTCAAACATTCAAGTTTGGTTTACTTATATAGTCAAAGAATTTCTAAAAGAGTTAATTTCCAAAATGGTCCTCCGAGTATGGTATTTTCTCAAATTGGTCCCTTGATTTTTAATTTTTTTAAAGTGATCCTCCAATTTTTAAATTTTAAGTCAAAATAGTCCTCCGTTAGTTTTGGCGTTAAGTTGGTGCTGAATGTCAAAACTGATGCAAATTTAAGGCGTGTAACACTGACGGTAAGTCCACAATTTCTTATTGTCTTGTTTCAGATCTCATATAATAATAAGAAAAAAGATTAACAAAAGCTCATATTAAAGTAAATCGTACAGTGATAATGTTTACATAAATACTTAGCATTCTTAATTTGAAATTAAGAAAAAACTATCCAATGCAAAGTGATAACAGGATATATTGCTTAAAACCCAATGATACCAAACAAGGTTCTCCTCCAATATGGATTTATGCACAATACAGCAATCACAGTTAGCAACATAACTATGTAAGATACCACAAAGCTGATGTAGAATGATTCCAAGTCCATGAAATTGCTTTCTTCTTTGCCATTGTCCTTGTCGGGTAACAACACTTGTGGGGCCGGGGGCGGTTCATTATTGTGGGTGCAAAGGTTGCTAAGTGGAGGTCCACAAAGGAGAGCATTTCCTTCATAACTGCTGTTATCAAATGTTGCAAATTGAGCTTTACTCTCTGGAATGGGACCACTCAAATTGTTGTGTGCTACAATGAAGATCTCTAAAAAATTGAGTTTAACAAGTTGAGCCGGGATTCTCCCATTTAACATGTTGTAGGATAGATCCAAACTCTCGACCTTCACAAGACCTGATAAGGTTGTCGGGATGGGTCCAGTGAGATTGTTGTGCGAAAAGTTCAAAGCACGGATTTCACTTAAGTTCCCAAGATTTAGAGGAATGTTGCCACTTAGTTGATTGCAAGATAAATCAACTGCTGACATGTATTGCAACACGATTCCCTTATAAGAATGTGATAGCAGCTTGGAAGTAAATTCTGCTGTGACATGACCATCGGTTAAGGGATAAAAATCATCATAAATCACAGCCAATGGAAGGTGAAATGTGGTTGCCAATTTGGTTGTTTTCAAGTACGACAATATTGCCCAAGTCATAGGACTGCTTGCTACTTCAATAGTAGAAGCTTTATTAAAATCGAAAAAAAGCATAGCCAATGTCATCTTATCCAAACAACCAGGAATTGAACCGCTAAGATTGTTGTAAGAGAGATCTAGCATACTCAGTTCACTCAATTGGCATAATTGACTTGGGATAATCCCTTCAAAATAATTCCCTTGAAGGAGGAGAATGTTTAGTTCTCTAAGCTTGCTAATCCATTTTGGAATTCTCCCTCTAAATTTGTTGTTTCTGAGGTCTAGTGTCACTAGGGAAGGCATATTAAAAAACGCACGAGTGAGTTGACCTCCAAACAAATTTTTTCTTAGATGAAGATGTTTCAACCCTTCAGGGTTGAAGCAAGATGGAATCGAGCCTGATAACCGATTCTCTGACATATCCAATAGCTTAATGCCATCTAACTTGCAAAGCTCTATAGGAATTGGGCCTTCAAGTAGATTATTAGACAGGGAAAGAACAATGAGGTTTACCATATTGCCTAAACACTTGGGAAGTTCCCCATACAAATGGTTGTTACTGAGGTCTAGTGCTTGTAGAGTGACAAAAATGGTAGAAAGATTATCAGGTATCGTGCCCACAAAGTTGTTGTTGTCGAGTTGCAAGACCGACAAGTGATATGTATTTAAAGCTCCTGGAAATATGATTTGCCCTTGGAAACTGTTGTTTGACAGTTTCAAATACTGTAAAGACAAACAAGAAGTAGCTAATTCCTTTGGTAATTCCCCCGTCAAGTTGTTGTTAGACAAATCCAAATATGCTAAGGAATTAAGGCCACAAAAACTGGATGGTAAGCTGCCAACAAGATTGTTCCAAGACATGTTTAGTACAACAATGTTTGGAAAGACAATATTTATATCTTTTGGGATTTGTCCACTTATGTTGTTCATAGAGATATCCACTGTCCCAATGTGGATATTAGGTTTCTGAGGAAATTTGAGGTCTCCATTAAAAACATTGCCACCCATATAAAACCCTTCTAGTTTTGTGTTGTTCTCCAACAACCAAACCGGAAAATCACCTCCAACATTATTATGTGACAGATCAAGGATTCTTAACTCATTTTGATGAAGCAGAAAGCTTGGTAATCTAGGATGATATTGTCCTACACAGTTGGATAGACTAAAAAATTCTAGTTTGTAGGATGGGAAAATGTTTTTTACACTGGTTTCCGAAATCACTTCATTGTTGGCAGCAAGAATGAATTTGAGATTAGAGTGATTGCTAAAGGACTCAAAAGAAAAGGGGACTTGGAAGTGGTTATTTGAAATAGTTAAAGATTCAAGTGAGGTTAGTTTATATAAGGGGGAGATGGCTATGTTCCCATAGAATTGATTAGTGGATAGGTCAATCAATCGAATAGAAGTCAAGTTTCCTAAACAAGAGGGAAGCATTCCATTCAACTCATTTTTACTCAGCCTTAACTCTTGAAGGTTTTTAAGCTCACACCAACCTGCAAAAAGTGTTAATATAATATTTTTATTTTAATATATATTATAGTCAAATATATATCTTATAACTTTGAGTCATACTTAGTGTGTGTTTGGTTCATGGGTTTACACAATATGAATGAGAATCAAAATCATAGTTAGTGTTTAGTTGACAACTTTTTAAACACAACTATGTGATTTGATTACCCGGCCCTTCAATTAAAATTTAAAAACTTCATACTTTAATTAAAAAAGGTATCATTCTATTTTATTGGTAATATGATTTTTAAGTTTGGATTATTAGTGCTTTTATATTTTTGTTTTGATTCTTTTTGTTCATATTGGTGTTTTGGATGTTATTATATTAGGATCAATTGACCAAGACTATGTGTTCTAATGGTATCCGGGTTAGACTTCCATTTGGAAGGTTATAAGTTCGAGCCTTAGTGGAGGTGTTTATTGGTTCTTTGTGTTGTAATAATAGAGCCAACAACATTAAAAAATATTAGGATCAATTGCCTTAATTTTTTGTTTTTGTATTTTTAAAACCTTTATTTCCATTATAGGGTCATAGATATATAACCAAACATCAATATTGTTAATTATTCCAATTCCACCCTACCACCAAATTCGCAAATTATGCCGTGGAAACGTGTTCACCATGCTTTGTGAACACGTTCCAAAACGGCGTCGTTTTTACGGAAAAAAAATTAGTTAATGTGCTGTTAACGGCGTTTTGCATTCTATGTTCAGATTATGAATTTACATTTATTGAATTATGAATTTTCTGTTATGAGATTATGAATTTACAGTTATGTAATTATGAATTTTCTGTCAATTCATAATCTCATAACAGAAAATTCATAATTTCTTAACTGCACATTCATAAATCCATGCCTGCACATTCATAATTTATGAGTGTTGAAGAAGCTTGCGCGAAGAGGAAGTGAAACCGCGAAATGTGAAAATGAAGAAGAAAAGTCACGATGTTAATTAAAAAAAAAAAAAGATTGGTGGAAGATAACGGTGCCACTTACGAGCACCGTTACCGTTTGGGACCGTACGTGTTCACCATGGATAGTGAACACAGTTCCATAGTATAACGATTGCACCAAATTAAACATGCAAAATGTTTTCACCAAAACTCATACCATTATCAAGTATTTGATTCCCATTCCAATTTCGATTCCCATATAGGAACCAAACACATCCTTACTAAGTTAACTAAAAGGCATGTTGTATACATACCTTGATTAGGTAAGTCTCCAATAAGAAAAGGAAAAAAAATTTACTCGGGTAAGTGGAAAAGCTTGAGAATGTTGTTTACATACCTTGATTAGGTAAGTCTCCACTGAGTCCACATTCAGAAAGTGAAATAACTTTGAGAGACAACAACCCTCCAATGTTGTTAAGGATATTTTTGTCAACATGATTGGTACCATCCAAGATAAGATTTTCTAATTTGCTCAGATTTTTCCAGTCTACAAATAATTAATATAAACCATAAGTTATTTGAGACTTGATGACACCATAAATAATTAAAACACATAAAGGAATTGAAAATTAAAAAGTAACAAGTAAACTTGCCATGAGTGTCTAGAAAGCTGTTATACTGAAAATAAAGGGTCTTGAGTGACGAGAAAACTGTTAAAGATGGTAGCAAATTGCTGAAGTTGGAGATTGATGCATCTAGCTGATCTAGATGCAACACTTGAAGATGGCTTACATTTGCAATGCCTGATAATAAATTATTATTTCAAATTAGACATCACAATTGATCAATTCTCACTACAACAAAACATTAAAATAACTATATATTTAGTAATGGATTAAATAATTATGGCTTAAATACTTATGAATTTCAACGTTTTACTTACAAAAATTCGTTGCTAAATTAACTACTTATGGATTATTCCAATAATTTACTTACAAATTTTTCATTAACAAATTTATTTTTTCTTAAGAAAATGTTATTTACCCTTACATATGTCGCTCACGAACTAGCTATTCCCTGATGTGACAAGTTTTAATAGGTTTAATTTATTTAATTTTCTTGTTTTTCTTTTTAATTTTAAATTTCAACCAATTAAAACTTGTCACATCAAGAAATGACAAATTTGTGATCCAGTGATAATGTAGGGGTATCTAGTCCTTTTTCTTATATATACATAATTATAATTTTAAAGTAAATTCTACTAAAGTTATATTATATTATTCATATATATGATAATCAATTTTTAATGTAATAAATATTATCAATTGCAGTTGATAACGATGTTTAATTTGAGTAAACTCCTAGCACTGGAGTTATACTATAAATGAATGCATGCATTCACCATGAAATTCATAGACATAACTAAAATATTTATTAATTAAGATTTATATAATTATACCTTTATTTAGTGGTCACAAAGTTGTCAACTCCCGTATAACTTAGATCCAATTCTTGCAAATTCGTCAAACCATGTAGCTCTTAAAGTAATAAGAAAAGAAGAAAATAAAAGTGGAGTATTTAAAAAAAAAAAAAAAAAAGTGGAGTGAAAGATAAACAATATATTACTATACGACAAGTATTGCAAATAATAGGGAAATGTGATGATAGTAAAGAGGGTAGAAATTGTAAACTAACCATTCACTTGTATTGATCCTTTTATAGCTTCATTAACAGAGAGATCTAAGAACCTGAGCGATGGAAGCTGTTTAAGACTTGAGAATATACTAGTATTAAAGTGATTTTGTCGTAAATGAAGAATTTTCAAATTTGGTAGGCCTGTCAAAATATATCAAAACCGAAATATTAGATCATATATATATAATGTTTATTTTAAGGTAAAAATTGTGTAACATCGTCTCACCGTGAGCGGGTCGGGTCAAGATGAAAAATGTAATACTTATACGTACAAATATATATAATACTAATTAGGAATAAAATGCTTATTATTATGTGGGAGCATGTAATACTTTTACATTTTTATTTAAAAGTATTACATTTTTTCTCACAAGTATTATATTTTTCGTTATAAGTAACAAACACTCGACAACATTATTTATTACGAAAAATGTAATACTTTTGATGGATCAAAATATAAAAATATTACATTTTCCCATATAATTAACAAACATTTTATTCTTGATTAGTATTACATTTAAACATATAAGTATGACATTTGCGCATATAAGTATGACATTTGCATGTTGATCTCATCCCGACCTGACTTATCTTACAGATAAGGATTCGTAAGACGGTCTCACAAGTGTAACCCTTATTTAAAGGACTTAAGAGTTAATTTCATTTTTGGTCCTACTGTTATAGGATGAATTTCAATTTTAGTCCACCATTATTTGTCTTGCCACATTGCAACCACTCTTATTATAAGTGTTCCACTTTTGGTCCACCGTTAAAAATTCTGTCTCCCAGCCATGTAATCTAGGGGTATTTTCGTCATTCTATTTTTAAGCTTCTCCTCCACGCTTTCTTCCCATCTGAGACCATGTTTGACTAAGAAAATTAGACTATTAAACCTAAAAGTGTTGAGCACAGAGAATGCATGCAAATAGATCAAACTGGCTTATGATTTTGCCGGCAAGTATTGATGGCTGAGATAGTGACGGCGCCGCCGTGATGACCGGCGGCCTGCAGCTGTCCGACGACCGGCCAGCCGCAGGACTTTGGAATTTCTCCAGATTGTACAAAAAATGTCGGCTTTCCATAGAATGATCAGAATCTCCAAACTGGAGAGAAGAATTTACAGAAAATACAAACTTGGGGGAAATGCTAATGAGGCTCCGATTGGGACTGGAATTTCAGATCAGATCAGGAACTTCATATACAATTGCGACTGGAACAAATCTGATAGTAACGCAAGGTGTGGATCGAGAGACGATTGCGACGAATGTTGGTGGGAGGCGATTGCTGGCGACACTGTTGCCTTCATACGCGGAGGTTTTGCGAAATCAAAGTTGCAAAGGACAGAGACTTGCGACTGGAAATCAAGGTACTAATTCTGGTAATCCTGATTCGATTTCACAGAAGAAACACGAAGGCAAACCTGTTGTAGCGATTAATGACTGGAAACCGCCGCCGCCGCCCCAGCTATTCCCACTGCCAAAGGCTCCATCGTCGTATCCCCCATCAAAGAAAAGGGAAAAAGACTAGAATGTGTAGAAATGGTTGAGAATTAGCCAAAATGTGTGCTGACTCTTTTTTTGACAGAAATATGCAAAACTCTATTGCGAGTTGCGTTTTTGAAGGTATTTAATCCGTATTTTTTTTCGTTAAATACGTAAAACGCAACTGGTAGTTGTGTTTTACGTATTGAATACGAAAAATGCATCTCCCAGTTGCGTTTTCACAATACGTATGGAATACGTTAAAACGCAATTGGGAGATGCGTTTTACGTATTATACTTTTAAATACGTAAAACGAGGATTGGGTGTTGAACGAAGGAATGGAGCAAGAAATCGGATTGAAGTAAGTGGAGAACGAAAAGGGTAAGAGTTTCACGGTGGTGTCTTGATCGTCGTGTAAAACCATCGGCGTCGACGGGCCAATGTTGAACGCCGCCGTGGCGGCGGCGTTGTTGCCGATTACTGGGTCGGCGGGGAAGAAGATAGTGGGCGTGTTGTTGTTTTTCTATTCGCCGGGTTTTTGATCAGCCGTGGCGGCGGGAGCTGACGTAATGGCGGCGGCGGCGGTAGGGTTGGGCGGCGTCTTGAGGCGCTTGTTTTTCCGGCTGCCGCCGACGGGGACGTTACGCAAGGTGCCCCCTTCCGTCCAGTGGCGCTTGCAGCCTTTACAGAAATGTCGAGGCTGGGACTTGTTATAGTTGTTGTAGTAACATAACTTGGTATTCGCCGAAGCACACCTCGGACACTTCAAAGGCTGCACCGCCTTTTGCGGCGGCTGTACGGCCGCCGGGAGATCCAACCTCGTACTCCCGCCTGTTGGGAGATTATCCCACTCAATAATCCCAGGTTGATGATCCCCGCCGGAAACCTGCTTAGTACTCAACCCCATACCAAGCTATTTCAATTCTGATCTTCAATTCGATCAATTCTCGCCGGCCTTCAAATTCGCCGGAAACGGCCAGTACAAAAAAATGACAAAAACGCAACTTCGTTTTGCGTTTTACGTATAATACGTAAATCGCAAACACAAGTTGCGTTTTGGGGGATACAGTATGCGCTGTAAAACGCAAGAGCGTATTGCGTTTTACGTATCGTATTCGTAAAACGCAACTGACTCTTGCGTTTTACAGAAATACATGAAAAATACTAAATACTCCAAAAACGCAACTCCGAAAGGAGTTTTGCATATTGTTGTCAACAAAAAAAATACGACACATTTTGAGAATTTCGCCTTGTTGACCGCACATTCTAGTCTTTTCCCCCAAAGAAAAATCCCAACTCCTCGCCGTCGTCATCCTAACGCGCCTTGTTTTGCGGGAAAGTCTCCGAGGCGCCGTTCTGATTCGAGTTGTTCTCACCAGCAGTGGAGCCACGTCGTCCGTAGGGGAGAACACCGTTGAAATCTGGACGAAGCCGGAGGCGGAGGACGGTAGTGATTGCTGATCATCAGAGAGAGACATGACATTGTTTGAGGTGAAACCATGCTGGCATTCAGAAGGAATTTCAAGCTGTGGGTGGAGGCCACCGCCGTTATCACATCAGAAAACACAAAAATTTCCATTGATTTGGGATCCGAACCCCGAATTATTGAACAAACTAGGGCTTCGAAGGAAAGGAATTGGTGATTTTCGTATGGAATTTCGCAAGGAAAGGGATAAGAAACCAGTTAAAAGAGTAAAAAGAAGCTAACACATGAATTGACGCAATTGTCCTTGGATTTCACGGTTATCAGATGGAAAAGTTAATGGTGGACCAAAAGTGAAACATTTAAAATAAGAGTGGTTGCAATGTGGGAAGACAAATAATAATGGTAGCCGGAAAATGAAATTCACTCAGAACATAATTAAACTATTGCTGCAAAGTACTTTCAACACGAATAGCCAAGCCAAACAACAAAATCATCATCATCAACAACAACAAGTCAACAACAACAACAGCAACAACAAATAGACAATATGGTTAACTTGTTGATGTATGGTTAAGTATGTAAATTGAACAAATTGATATTAGGTTTTGTTGATGTATGGTTAAGTATGTAAATTGAACAAATTGATATTAGGTTTTGATAATGTTAACTTGTATTATTAATTAGTATCAAATTGTGAGATTTATTACTTTTATTACTTGTTTCATTATAAATATTAGATTCTACATATTTTGCTGTGGTTGTGGTGCGCGCAATAATTGAACAGGTTTTGGTTGTGGTTGTGAGAAATTGAGCAGGTTTTGGTTGTGGTTGTGGTTGTGAGTAATTTGAGCAGGTTTTTGGGTATAAATGGACAAATAAACTGTATATTACAAAAAAAAAAAAAAAAAAAAAAAAAAAAAAAAAAAACAACATCGGCTAATTAGTACTAGCCGACGTTGTACGTTGTATATATTTTTTTTAAAAAATAAATACAGTTTACAACGTCGGCTAATACCAATTAACCGACGTTGTATATTATTTTTTAAAAAAATAAAATACCTACAACGTCAGCTAATTGGTATTAGCCGACGTTGTATAGTATATATAAAAAAAAAAAAAAATACCTACAACGTCGGCTAATTGGTATTAGCCGACGTTGTATAGTATACAAAAAAAAAAAAATAACTACAACGTCGGCTAATTGTTATTAGCCAACGTTGTATACTATTTAAAAAAAAAATGTTACAATGTCGGCTAATACCAATTAGCCGACGTTGTAGGTATTTATTAATTAAATTAAAAAATATATATAACGTCGGCTATTTAAATAGCCGACATTATATATAATATATACAACGTCGCCCAGAACAACTTCGGAGCTTAGCCGACGTTAAAAGCCTGCTGTGTAGTAGTGTTTAACCAAGAAAACAGTTTCTTTTGTATTTGAAAATGCAAAGTTATTGGAGTGCACATAAAGAGATCCAACATATATACTGGTGAAAATCTGAAGATTAGACAAAAAAAAAAAAAAAAAAAAAAAAAAAAAAGAAAGAAAGAGCCAAATGACTAATATTATTTTTTCCAATTAAAAGCTACTAATGAGTTAGTTTTACTTTGTAAATAAGAACATTTGTATTTATTTATTTATTTTTATTTAGAAAACTATACTTGTGTTTTTTTTTTTTTTTTTTCCCTCTAGAAACAAGTCTTTTAGTGAGACTTCTTATTTATTAGGTCAATCCCGCACATATTCCATATTTGTTTTGTTTTATTATTAGCAATCATTTTTGTAATCATTCATATATGTAGGCTCGAACCTCATGGTGGGGACTTAGATTTTTTGTGCTAAAAATATTTAAGAAAGTATAGAATAAATACTATCTTGTAAAGAATCATGAGTATTTAAAAAAAAAAAAAAGTCATTCAATCGAAGACAAATTCAAAAATATCGTTAACTGGGGGCGAAAGCAAAATTAAACTGAACACACATATATATATAATGAGGTGGGGAGGGAGAAGTGGGGCAAGTACCGCCATTGCCTCCCTCTGGATCCACTTCTGATTCCGTAAACATGTTACTATACACTTATCATATACCAACTATTTGTACAATTGCATCATAAAATTCATAGACACATGCAGCTAAAAATTTTATTAATTGAATTGAAACTCATATAACCATACCTTTAGTGGTGACAAAGCTACTAATCCCATTCCCAGTTAAATCCAATTCTTCCAAAGCAGGTAGCTCTTAAAGTAATAAAAAAGAACAAAATAAAAGTGGGTGAAAAAAAAAAAAAAAAACTAAACAAAGAGAGAGAGAGAGAGGGGCTAGGGTAGAAATAGGAAATTGATATATTGAAAACTAACCATTTACTTGTATCGATCCATTTATGGCGTTATTGAAAGAGAGGTCTAAGAATCTGAGCGATGGATGATGTTTAAGACTTGAGAATATGCTATTATTAAAGCCACTATTTCCTAAATGAAGAATTTCCAAATTTGGTAGGCCTGTCAAATTAAACTATATCAAAAATAGCATCTATTTCCTCATATATAATAACTAGTATTTATATGGGCGATGCGTAAAATTATGCGCCAACATTGATGTTATAATAATGTTAAAATTCTTATTACATTAAAATAATTTAAAAGTAATAAATAAATAACACAAACTCTATAATCTATATAATATTAAAACAATTAATCATTAACTCTTTTTTTTTTTTTTTTGAAAACATTAATCATTAACTTAATTGTTGTGTTTATATTAAGAAGATTTAATTTTTTTTTATTACATATATATTTGATCTATATGTCTTTCTTATAAAGATATGTTTGTCTAGATAAATATGTAAATGATACTCCATATATATAGTAAAATATATTTAGTTTAAGAGTTAATTTCATTTTTTGTCCTAGATTTATATGTGACAGTCCACTTTTAGTTTTTTTTTTTTTTATCAGAACATCCCCTTTTGGTTTTAGTATTATTATGACATGACCAATTTTATGTTTATTTTTTTGAAAAAAAAAAATCATAATTAAAGAGCGAAATGTCCATGTATTTAACGAAATTTCAATGATTTTGATAGAGGACCAAAATTGGTCATCTCACAATAATACTTGGACCAAAAATGAATGTTCTAATAAAAAATGACTAAAAGTATATTGATACCTATAAATCTAGGACCAAAAATGGAATTAACTCTTTAGTTTAATATAGTACAGAGTATTTAGCTAAGTAAACTATTTTGGTAAGCTAAGTAAACTATTTTGGTAAGCACAATACTACAATTAGATAAATGTGTTTAGTATTTAATACTTAACTAACATAATCATGTCAAGAACCTTATGCTTAGATGTCATGTAGTGATTTTTCTCATGTGGAAAGTCACGAGATTGAACCTTAGTAGAGGTGTTGTTGACTCTGTTTTGATTGAAAAATAAAATTACAATAATTTTAACATGTGGTACAATTTGCCAAGCACCTTGTACTTAAATGGCATGATTTTCACATATGGAAAGTATAGATGAAGAATACAGACATAATTCAGTAGTAACATAACTTGCATTAGCTCATTATTAATTAAGATATACATACAGTTATACACAAGCAATTTACTTCTTTACTATCAAGTGCATTTAATTTATTTTCTTTACTATAAATTGTTCATATTTTATTATTTTTTAGATGAGTTAATTTCATTTTTTGTCCTAAATTTATATGTGACAGTCCAATTTTAATCATTTTTTATTAGAACATGCATTTTTAGTCCTAGTATTATTGTGAATGACTATTTTTTATCCTCTATCAACAAATACAAGAGCATTTTAATCTTCAATTATTAACTTTTTCAAAAAAAAATAAACATAAAAATATAATGAGTCAACCTATTTTGTATAGGACAAAAAATGTAATTAACTCAACCTCATATAACCATACCTTGATTGGTGACAATGTTGTCAACTCCGGTACCCATTAAATACAGCTCTATCAAGGCAGGTAGCTCTTAAAGCAATCACAAAAGAAGAAAATAAAAGTGAGTGAACAAGAAAGATGTAATATATATATATATATATATATATATATATATATATATATATATATATATATATATATATAGTGACAAATATTGAAAATAATGGGGAAATGTGATGATAGTAAAAGAGGGTATATAGGAATTGTAAATAATTGACCATTCATCTCCACTGATCCTTTTATGGCTTCATTGTCCGAGAGATCTAAAAACTTGAGTGGTGGGAATTGTTTAAGACTTGAGAATATGCTATTATCGAAGCGATTAGAATATGCCTTCAACATTTTCAAATTTAATAGCCCTGCCAAATGGAAGTACAAAAAAAAAAACCAACATCTAGTCATATATAATAATTTTTTTTTAGTGATAGACCAGAGTCTACATTGCAATGTAGACATCGATTCAAAATAACTTTCAGGTTATGTGTCTGCAGTTAACATATTTTGTACCTGCAGTCATGGTTGCAGTAGGCACTAGGCGCTAGTCGAGCGCCCGGGTAGTGCCTATGCGGGCGCCAAAAAAAATAAAAAAAATAATAATGACAGACTTGTAGTTTGACAATTTTAATGAGGCTGTTTTCAACATTCAATCAAATAACACATCCAAAATAAATGAAATAATGATAAATCAGTCATAACATCATAATAATATTAAAAACAATAATTACTGAAAGACGACATCGGACGAAATCGGTCAAAATTAGGCGAAATCGATCAAAATCGGACGAAATCGACCGAGTTGGCCAACTCGGCCGATTTTAATGGCCGACTACACTCAAAAACGGCACAGCATGGCGGCGCCTAGCGCCTAGGCCGAGTTTTACAACCATGCCTGCAGTTAACCATTTATGTGCCTGCAAATAAATTGAAGTCACATAACATGTTAATACAGACATATAAAATGGTAACTGCAAACACATAATATGTTAACTGCAGACTGTGTCTATTGTTAACATATTTTGTACTTGTAAATAACAGTTTATGTGTCTATAGTTATCATTATGTGTCTATAATTAACATATTTATGTACTTTTAATTTATTTACAAACACAAATAGTTAATTGTAAGTACAAAATATAACAACTATAAACACATAATTTTTAGACTAAGTTAGGGTTCACAATGCAAGATGGACCATGATCCATGATATAACAAACTAAAAGTTGATATTCATTTTCTCCAAACTCCTCGGCAAATTATGCTGTGCATCCGTATGCACCATGCATGGTGCATACGGATGCAAAAACGACGTCGTTTTATTAAAAACGCACGTCTCCCCTTAAAAAAAATCAGGTTCGATTCCCAGCAACAACATATGAACTAAAATTCCAGAATCGATGAACTATAATTCCATAATCGATGAACCAAAATTCCAGAATCTAATCTATGAACTAAAAATTCCAGAATGAATGAACTAAAATTCCAGAATCTATGAACTACAATTCCAGAATCGATGAACTACAATTTCAGAATCGATGAACTAGAATTCCAGAATAAATGAACTAAAATTTCATAATCTATGAACTAAAATTCCAGAACGAATGAACAACATAATGTTGTTGCTAGGAATCGAACCTGATTTTTTTTTTTTAAGAAGAGACGCGCGTTTTTAATAAAACGACGTCGTTTTTGCATCCGTATGCACCACCGATGCATAACATAACTACTCAAACTCCTCATATATACCTTGCATGGGCCCAAAGCTTTGGAATGTATTCTGTGATATGTCTAGCACCTTTAAATTGGTGAAATCATTTATACCTGTTCAAATAAAGTTGCCTAGATAAGTTGAATGTTTGTATTATACATTTCATAGCTATAAAATGAAATACTTTTCGAGAAATTGAATTTCAGATTAACGTACTACAAACTGATTCAAAATCACTTATTCCAATGCCATCAAGAGATAGGAATTCAAGTCTTTTCAAATTTGAAAGTCGTTCGTGACCTACATCAGAAGAAAATTTATTAAATAGTTTTCTTTATATATATATATATATATATATATATATATATATATATATATATATATATATATATATATATATATATAAAGCATAATATTATAATGCTCCGAGATATACTCTATAGGTTAATCAAATAAGAAAAATGTCATAAAAGAGTTATGCAATAATCACATACATGCAAACAAAAAAAAAAAAATCTAATAGAATAATGTTGTGACTATTTTTTAAAAGGAATGGAACAAGATTTTAAAGTTTGTGTGTGTGTGTGTGTATATATATATATATATATATATATATATATATATATATATATATATATATATATATATATATATATAGAGGGAGAGAGAGAGAGAGAGACATAGGGGTCGTTTACTTCATTTTTCTGTTTTTCCATTTTCAGTTTTCATTTCTCCATTTCTCCAGTTTTCCTTCTCCATTCTTCCAGTTTTCCATTTCTCCAATTTTCTAATTTTCATCTCCTATCCCTCTAGTTTTTTATTTCTCTAATTTTTTAATTTCATTAAATTAAATACAATCATTACATATAAACATTTGTACATTTCTACAACAGAGATAATAATGACAATAATGATGATGATGATGATGATGATGATGATATAATAATAATAATAATAGTAACAATAATAATAATAATAATAATAATAATAATAATAATAATAATAATAATAATAATAATAATAATAAAGCAATAAAAACTGAAGAGAAGAGCCAAACCATCGAGGAAGAGGAAGAGGAATAATAATAATAATAATAATAATAATAATAATAATAATAATAATAAAAGTAATAAAAAACTGAAGAGGCAGCGCCAACTAGGAATAATAATAATAATAATAATGATATAATAATAATAATGATATAATAATAATAATAATAATAATAATAATAATAATAATAATAATAATAATAATAATAATAATAATAATAATAATAATAACTACTGAAGTGGAGGAATTAAAAATGGAACCGAAGAGGAAGAATAAAAAAAAGAAGAGGAAAAGAAATTGATGAGGAATAAAAAATAAAGAGGAAATAAGAAACAAAGGAATGCACCCAAGCCAAGATTCGAACACTGGACTTCAGGGTTAATATACACTATTCACGTGCATTTTTTCCAATCCTCTAAATGGAGAACTCAAAATTTCCTTTCTCCAAAATCATATAGAAACGGAAGAATGGAGATAGAAAAGGCATTTGGAAGAAGAAATTTAGTAAACAACTTCTCCAATTTTTATTTTTTTCATTCTCAATTTCTCCATTTTTCTGGAAAATCCTCCATTTTTCCAAGTTAGTAAACGACCCCATAAAAATTTTATAAATATGCTACTTGATTTTAAAAAAAAAAAGGTGAGAAATTTGAAAAAAAGATGTATAATTGAAATTGAAATTGATCATATTATGATTACTTGATCGGCCTTCTAGATGATTATGGCCAAGATTGAGAGTTTTAATAGATGTGAGGTGACTGAGCCATGAAAGAACACTATGATTGAAATTGTTCCCCCACAAATTTAGAACCTCCAGGTTACTCAGTTCTGATAGTTTCTCAAACCCTGCATGTAGAACATCACAATTATATTATGTGTAATTAATCATATATAAATAAAATATTGTAGTTAATATTATTGATCATATCCTGTGCAATATTTTTTTTAAAGATGAGAAAAAATAAAAAATAATTAATCAAACGTAACCTTGATTTTGGACCCATCCAACCAAGCCATTGGATGCCAAGGAAAGAGCCCTAAGCATTTTAAAAGGAAGGAAAAGAGAGGCATTAAAATGCCAATCACTTTGGACTAGCTTCCAAGTCTCAGTGGATTCTAGAGAGATTTGTACCACATGCTTTGTGGTAGTGTTACACACCACGTTTGGCCATTCACAAGTAGATTTATCATCCTCCCTCCATAATGGAAGGGAATTTCCATTTGGATAATTTACGCTGGATTTGAGCTGCAAAAGTGCAAACCTTTCTTCATCCAAACAACCATTGCAAAACCACCAGTTTGGTAGAACTAGTATGATGATGAGGGAGCTAATCCAAAACTTTACCATTTTGATGACACTACAAGATCAGAGTAGTCAATAGTGTATGTTGTGTGTTGAGATGTGTCCGATATGATGGTGGCCTTTAAACTTTAAAAGAAGGGGGAAAACGCGTGTTTTTCCATTGTTCATTAATTAATTGTCAAGTGGAAGACCATGACTTGGAAAACTCATATGCTGCATGTGTGAAATTTGTACTAGGTCAAACATACACTATATATGCCATTCATCTAATAAATTTTAGGAAAATATTTGGTGTACTCTCATTTTATACTCCCAACTTATACTTCCTTTCACATGCTTTATATGTAAACACTTTTTGAGGATCCACGTAATGAAAATAACCAATCCTGATTTCCACCTCAGGGACTATAAATGAGGGAGTAGAATTTGGGAGTCTATGTAGTAGAACTTTAAATTTTAACTCATGTCATTAAACCTTGAATTCACGCACATAACCGCTTTTTAAAATTTAATTAAGGTGCGTGTTTTTTTTTTAAGTGCGTGGTTTTTCTACTATGTGCTTAAGGTGCGCCGTCAGTTGTTGAAACTTAAGTGCGTCGGTCTAAAACTTTAGGTGTGTGATTTTCCTTCTTAAGAAGCGTGGTTTGTGTGCTTAAGATGCGTCAGTTGTTGAAATTTAAGGTGCGTCGGCCTAAAGCTTTAGGTGCGTTGTTTTCCTTCTTAAGGTGCATCTGTTTAAAGCTTTAATTAGGTGTTTTATTTTCCTCCTTAAGGTGCTTTGTTTTCCTTCTTAAGATGCATTGTTTTCCTTCTTAAGGTCTCATTTTGACAGTTTTTTTTTCACTCAACAGTACATTGGTGTTTTTTCAGTTTTGGTTCCAAAGTTCAAAATGACCTGATCCAAGTTTTGGTTTTTTCAATTATCTAATTGAAAAGGAAAAAAAATATTATAGCAATATAATAACCCATAGTAGAATTGTTATCTTTGGAGTAAACCTGAAGAAGATGGATGCATTAATTGAGGATGCACAGTTTTTTTTTTTTTTTTTAATTTCATTAATTTGAGTCATTGATCTAGATTTGATCAACGGTTCAGATTTAACCTCATCTTTCACCTGAGAGCATCTTCGCACCAGAACTCATCCTTATGTGTGTGTGTAGCCCATTAATTTATGTTTTTATTTTCTCTCAGTCAATCGTTATATGGTGGGCCATGACTCACACATATGTGTGGATTGGTGATACACCACATATATGTATATTATTAAATGAATTTGTATGTAGTAGAATTAAAATGATACTTTAGTATTGTTATAATGAACCTATAGTGTGTATAAAATGAAACTGATTAGCAGCGCTCATATATATATATATATATATATATGTGTGTGTGTGTGTGTGTGTGTGTGTGTGTGTGTGTCTTAGGAAAATAATATATGTGGCTCAAATTTATTGTAGAAGACCCACTCAACATGTAATGCATTTGTTGTTGCCGTAACTTTCTTCCTACGTAGCATGTCTGTACATGTTCTTCTACTTCGTGCCACTTAATTCTCTTCTTTTTGATTAGTATAAATAGCTTGTTTAGCTTTGTAATTAATGCATCAATTTGCATTCATTCATTAGCAATTTATTTTGCTTTCTTTTCTCCTCACGTAGAGTAGTACATATACATATATATATATATATATATATATATATATATATATATATATATATATATATATATATATATATATATATTTGCTTTGTATTCTCTATTTAGAGAGTAATATATATATTTTATAATCTCCCAAATTAGCTATTGTCTTATTCTGTTATTTACATATTTTCCCTATTATTTAACTTCTATAATTCTCAATTTTTTATTCTTCGCTTCCGCATTATTCCGCTTTATTCCTAACAAGTGGTATCAGAGCGGTTTAATTGAGAGTTATTTTCAAAGATGTCGACTGTTACTAAGTTCGATATCGAGAAGTTCGACGGGAAAATTAGCTTTTCTATCTGGAAGGTTCAAATGGAAGCCGTTCTAACCCAGAACGGTTTGAAGAAAGCGCTAGCTGGAAAGAAGAAGAAACCGGCTACAATGACAGATGAAACTTGGGAAGATTTGGATGACAATGCATGTTCAATCGTTCTTTTGTGCCTGTCTAAAGAGGTTCTACGTGAGGTAGTAAGTGAGACGACTACGTCAGATTTATGGTCCTTACATGGTCAAAACTCTGGCGAACACGCTACGCCTGAAGGAGCGTCTGTACACAATCCGTATGACGGAAGGTACTTCTATTAAATCTCACTTGGATGAATTCAATTTTATTTTATTGGACTTGGAGAATATCGATGTCATAATTGAAGATGAAGATCGTGCTGTTTTATTGCTTGTCTCTCTCCCTAATCATACAAGCATTTCAAAGAAATTATGCTATATGGTAATAGTAGTGATACCCTTACTTTCGACAATGTTAAGTCAAACCTATTGTCCAAAGAAAATTTTGACTTTGAAATTAAGTCTGAGGACAAAGGTGAAGGCTTGACTGTAAGGGGTGTAACACCCCGTGTTACGGTCTCTAACCCAAACTAATTATTTAATTGCTTACCATTAAAAGATAATTGAATTCCCTTAATTAATTGAGAAGGGTCCACCATGGATCATGGACCCTTATCCCTAAACCAAACCCTTAGTCCTATAAGGAATAGAATAAGCGAATCCCTATCTTTCAGACCTTAGTTAGGACTCTTAAATATATATAAGGACATAGGAGGCACCTAGAAATCACACCACAATAGATTCCACCACACAAGAATTCTCAAGAATTCCCCTATCACCAAACATAGGAGAAATCACGAAGAGGAGATCTTAGAGAAAGAACCTTAGTAGCCAAGGATTCTAATTAAGGCTGAGAGGTAACCCATGTCTCAACAAAACCTATTTTCCTTGCTATAATCTCCTTCATTGGCTCCTTTGATATGTGATTCTGTGTTTGCGTCTTGATAAGGCTTTTCCTGAGATTGATATGATGATTATGAGATAATCTTGATGTTTAAGAGATGATCTTGATGTTTATGTGTTGATCTTGATGCTTATGTGATAATCTTGATGTTCTTGTTTCTAAGATAAACTATATAAATGATCTTGTGTTTTAATTGACTAGAGCCCTAGGGTTAAAACGTGGATTTCGTATTGTGTTATTCTTGGTATGTTTGGGTGGGATTTTGTATGTTCGGGTGTTGAGTCTTGACATGTTTAGGAGTTGTGTTAAGATGTATTTGATGTGATCCTTGATTTTAATCCATTACTTGATTACGTGGTGTCGTTGTTGTGTTTAAATGTGTCTAGACATGATTTCGGGTTCCACGAGGGATCCCAGGACCGAGTTATTACATAGGAGCCAGTGGGGGTAGGTGGGGGCAGGGGTACCCGCCACCTACCCGCTTCCCAAACACCGCCTGGCAGCGGGCAGCCGGCGGGCAGGCGACTACCCGCCAGGCACCCGCTACCTCGTGACTCGCCACCGGCGGGTGGCCCTCCACCCGCCGGCCACCCGCTGGAATTTCGGTGTGGATTGTGGTGTTTTTCCCCGTTTAATGTTTCCCCGTGTCCCATTGTGTCCTGTTGTACCCCGTTTGTCGTATGTGAGTCTAGTTTGATGTATCGGGTTCAATTCTTAGGATAAAAGGGTCTTGTATATTGCATGCTAGTCGAATTGGTACCCCGTTGGCCTAGGAGGAAGGTACATGACTCCTTAGGCGTGTCTCTAGTAGTTTAATGTGGTTGACCACGCATAAGTAATATTAGGATAAGTGTTCCCCAATGATTCCCCCCTCCTTATGTGTTAATGTGGGTTGCATGTGCTAGGCTATGTGTTATTCGTGCATGATACCCCAATTGGTTGCGGTAAATTGGCTATACAGGCAGTTGGATGAGTTGAGAACCATCGGCTGTTAACCCGACCGGTTGCGATCGGTCGACTATACAGGCAGTTGGATGGGTTGAGAACCATCGGCTGTTATATATATATATATATATATATATATATATATATATATATATATATATATATATATATATATATATATATATATATATAGCGTTGCGGTCCATGATCTGGTTGCGATCAAACGTTATAAATGAGCTGCGGTTCACCAATTGGTTGCGATAAATCTCCTTGTGCTGCGGTACTAGCAAGGTGCTTCACGGTCGTATCAGAGCTATATGCGCTGACCCTCATGTATTGGCATGCGATTGGTCATGCGACATCACCAAATGTGTTTACGTGTTTTAATACTATTATGATTGATATGAAATAGTCTTGTGACCTTAGGGTGCATGCTAGTATCTTTATATGTGTGATTAATTCTGTTGAATGTGCCTACCCTTGCTTGATTGAGTCTATTCTCGGTTTTAATTAGAGTTTCATAAGTATATATATATTCCGGCTTCAAAATGGTTTTCCATATATATATATATATATATATATATATATATATATATATATATATATATATATATATATATATATATATATATATATATATATATATAGGGAGGGCTTCAAGTGAGAACTCATGTTTAGGTAGGAACATAAGAACTAATCTAAGCCTTTGAATTCCATCCAATCAATGGTTTTTATTAATTAATTAGTAATAAGGAGACCATTAGTATAAGTAATTTCAAGGGATACTAGGGTAATTTTCAGCACCCAATAATTAATAATTAATATTGTATTTGAAATTATCCCAAGAATATAGGAGAAGTAGATGATTCAGGACTCTATTCTTTTTCCTATTCCGCGAACGACACCACTGCGACAGGGACCTCTCCAACCAACGCATGTGAATCTCTACCAAACGTGTGCATCCTGAAGCAGCCAACGACGTGGACAAATTGATTTTCCCCGGTCGGAATAATGGCAACAGAATACCATGACAATAAGTTCCATATTTGAATACGTATCCATGGGTGTGTTCATAATTTAAATTCATAGAGTGTGTAATCATGCACTAATAGGCCAGTTTAAATCCCATAACAATGTGTGGAATCGCATGCGGCAACAGTAATGTTCATGCCCTCCCCAACTGTGTTCGGCCTACTAAACG